CAGCCGAGTTCCATGTGGCAATTCCAATGGAAACATTTTTACTTCTGAAACCTAGTTTCTTTCCTCAACTCCCCCCAGGCAAAATGGATTATTGCTTCCTGGAAATCGAAGCAGGGGACTTGAAAGTGTTTCATATTAAAAACAGAGAAGCCCAAGGAGGAGGAAAATAATTATGTTTCTAAAAGCTTTTAGAACAAATGCTTGCTTGTGAGAAATAATTTTCCTATAAATATTTTATTCCTCCTTTCCTTTCTTCTGTCCCCCAGCTGAGGATTTCCACATGGACATGGGGGATGATGTTCCCCTCGTGCAGGGGGCCCGGGGGGGGGGGGATCAAAGGCCCCACCTACTTGCTGCTGAGTTTTATTCACTGTCTTCCAAAGGTCTGCTTCCACCCGCTTGCCGGGCTCTGAGGTGCCGTGGGCTCCAAACGTTGGACAAATGGACAAAGAATGCAGAGAAAAATTTGTAGCTACATCGCTTCCCAGCCAGTTTCAAACACGAAGTTTCCAGGCTTGGCGAGATAGCGAAATGCTTATGGTTTCCCTGTGGGAACCTGTCCATTCTGGAAGACTTCTGGTAACGTAGATGGTAGCTCACTCCCGACTGGTGCTCAAGATGACTACAGACAATACAGAGCTCATTGAGTGGGGGTTTCCAACCAAAGTCTGTGTGCCCAACGCTTTGAAAGGCCGACACTCAGAACTCCATGGTTGGGAGTGAGGACGGGTTTATTGATGGAGAAGGCGCTGACTGAGAAGATGAGAGACCTGGTGGTGCCTCAGACCCACCTTCTCGCTGCACCAGGCCAAGGGCTTTGAAGGGGCTAGGGGGACAGGCGCCTGGAAGTGCTGGTGGGCGAGTTTCCACCGCAGGGCCTTGGAGCTTGGCCATTCATGGTCGCAGGCGTCAGCCCCGGATCTGCCAGCACAAAGAACCCTTGGTTGCTTTCTGCAGGGGTTCCGGTGCTCCAGCTCCGGCTGTGTCCTGGTCCTGGGCACTGACTGCTCCTGGTCCCCGACTCTCTTTCCAAGGACGATGTCCAGCGAACAGCTTTGGGAGGGAGAGACAGGGTCCTCCTCCAGAGCAAAGCCCAGATTTGCTTCCAGCCTTGGAAAACAGACACAGTGTCTTCTTCCTTAGCAAGGGGCAGACTTGCTTCCTGCTCGAGATAAAACGTCCGAGTTTTTTAAACTCTTGAACTCGGAGCTCCTCTCCCATGTCACAACCCGCTGTGTGTGCAAACGCCAGCGGGTCCCCTTCGCTTCGTCCTGTGGGAGCTGGGGCTTGGGGGCCTGGCTCCCAAATCGCTGATGCTCCGGCTGCTGTCGTTGGCCCGAGTCCTTGTCTCTGACCCACGAAGCTCATGTCTTCAAGCAGCGTCCACGAAGTGGTGGCGGGCCGGCTTGTCTCAGGCTGGGCAGTCTCTGAGCGTTGCTCTCAGTGACTCTTATTCTCGACCCATGGAGGAGCTGTTGGAGACTCTGGGGGGAATCTATAATTAAAGCCAAGTCTGAGGGTTCTTCTCTAGCGGTGAACCAAGAGGGGGGAAAGGGCCTCCTTGCTTTGGGGGCACCCTTTCATTTCAAGGGCTCCGATGTTTCAGCAGCACAGGTTAAAGAGGGTATGGGTGCATGCAACCCAGGACACACAGACAGAGAGACAGACAAATGGCAGGTGGGATCAGGGGGGCAATGGGCTGCAGGGGTTTTTTTTAAATGCAAAACCAAAGGGGGAAGAAAAGGGATTTTAACATACATTTTGTGACAAAAAGAATACATTTAAAATGGGTTAACCTCATACTTTTTTTTTATAACAAAAGTAAACATTTAAATGAATTTTTGGGCCCCAAGGCTTTATTTATTTACTTTTTTGGGTCGTGGAATGAGTAATTATTACAATTATTATTACCCAATTACCTGCTTCCTTGGTGCTGACAGAGAGATTTATGTCAATACCAAAACTCCCCATTGGGTCCTGGAGGAGGGAGTGTATCTTCTGCCCTGCCCCCCCCCCCATTCCCCCCCCCCCGCCCCTGCCACCCACCTCTCCAACCCCCACCCCCACCCACCTTGGCACTCCCAGTCACGGTCAGAGGAGTTTTGAGAAGGGCAAACAGGCCAGGGGGCTGCCAACACGTTGCCACGAAAGGAAGTTTAAGTTGACACTTAATGTTTAAAATTTAAATGCACTAGTTGCGAAGGATTTCATTTCCAATGCATGGTTCATCATATGAAAGAAAACATCGTCCCAACACTGTCAGTGGTAGGATTTTTTTTTTAAATGATGCAATTTATAACCCCTTCCATGAAGTAATTGTAATTCCTGATAAAATGCTCGGGTAATTTCCAGATGGACTTGAATGGGATTAAGAAATCCGGAGAAGCCGGGGCTCCCCACTCAGCTTTCTTAAGACACGTCCGTCCGACTCGGGACATTCGCTGGTCGAGCCACCCAGTCTCGTCTCTCTCGGTGTCGGCGCCGACGGAGGATCCCTGAACGGAGGCCAGCCTGAGCGGAAGTCTTCACGGACTGATACCAACTCTGGGAAGGCATTTTAACGGCTGACAAAAATAAACTTGCTGCATCACTTTATTACAGACACTGGAATCTAAATACCATAATGATCTGATGTTCAGCATCGCCTCCGTGAAAAACATAAGAACAAATTATTTTTGACACCTGCAAAAAATTCTACCTTTTATGTTCCTCCCCTCAAATTCACATGTCTACCCTCCATTTTATCCTAATGTGACATTTCTTACCACCGAAAGCTTAAAGTTAATCTCATAATTGTCTACAACAAAAGTCAGTCTAAAAATGTTTGTGACCACACGGCTTTCCTTTTTTTGTCTCAGGGTTGAGTAATTATTAAAATTTTTATTATTACGCAGTTGATAAAAACCTACAACTACGTTACACATTTTGATGGATAATTGTTAAATATAAATTTTAAACTTTATTGGAAATGCGCTTCATAATGAAATGAATGGGGCTGGTTTCTTCCACCTCCCCAAGGGGAACGTGTACCCATAAATATAAATCACCTACACCAAGTCTGCTCTTGCTTTTCTTGTTTTTGAGATGTAAGCTCTGAGGCGTGTTGGTCACATAACAAGCACACGGGGTGGGAGAAGTTTGTTACAGTAATATTACTCAACCCTTTGGACTTCTGGGCTTTATTCTGAAATCACATAAAAAAAAAAAAACATATCCACCAGCTGTCTTGACTAGGTACTCTTCCAAGTTTGTTGGAAGCAAAGAATTGAAAAAACAGTTTGCAAATGGATTAGCTCCTCCTCCTAAGGATTCAAATCAGACCTTTCGGTAACTGAGGGTTTTTCTTACCCAAGGGCAGTGCCCGGGAGTGTGAAGTTAAGTTGGCTCAATGGAAAATAAAGGGGAGGGGGAATTTTTAAAAAAGCAAACTCGGCTTTTTGTAGGTTTTGCTCACGCCCTTAGTGTAAACCCTTCTATGACCACAGAGGCCAGTCTAAACTGGCCTCCTCCTGTTTCAGAGACAACAGAACAAGGCCAAAAGTCTTGAAGTTGGGCGGTACACATGTGCACTAAAAAAAGCATTCACCCTCGAGTGACCTTTCCATGTCAAGGGGTCAGAATCCACCATGGAGGCATAGTTACCCACCCAAACTCAAACATTCGAAGTACAAGAAGGCGTGATTCCCTAGTGCTTGCGCACCAGGCTCTTGTTGAGAGTTTCGAGTCCCTTGAACACCTGGTTGTCCCTTGAACACCTGGTTATCCCTCAGAAAGCCTGTGCCCAAGGCCCCATGGGCAGCCATTTGAATCGGAAGACCAGGGATTGAGACAAGGAGTGTGGGCTTGGAATGCGCTGCATCACGGCCTCCTGTGACCTGTCCCATGTGAGGAGGACCTGGGCACACTGCTCAACTTCTACCGGCCTTGGTGTTTTCTACAAACAGGAGAAGCCAGTGCCTACCCCCCAAGGCAGTAAGAGCTGACAAGCAGCAGAGGCTGCTGGAGGGGCGTGGCTTTCAGAATCCTCTTAATTCAGTTGCAGGGAAGTGCCCTGGGGGGTTGACGTTTGGGGCATCGGGACAAGGGGGAAACACGGAAGCTGTGCTACATAGGGCTTTTTGTTTTTTCTCTCCCACATAAGGGACTGCTTTGGTATCTTAAAATGCTCGCACCCAAACAGAACTTTCAGCTCGTTTCTGTCCTTTTTACACAGTCCTTTATCTTCTGGACCGCAGCGTCAGGCTGGGGTCATCCCTGGGTGTGGACGGACACACCCGACAGCAACAGCGGCTCTCTCTGGGAGCAGAACGCACTCCCGGTCCATCTTGGACCCAACTCACCAGGAGGCTGAGGAACCAAGAAACAGAAGGGCCTCCTTCTAAGCCAGTTCCACCTGGAGGGCCATCCCGTGGCCCGGTCCCCCAGGGCTCCATTAGCATGAGGTTTCCGGTGGTTCTACCAGCTTGTGAAAGTCTAGTTTCATGGAGACGAATGGCAGAGCCAAGTCCTGTCACCGCTCTATACACAATTCTAGGGTATAACCAATATCTCACACTGCGTTTTCTTCTTCACAATGTTAACTGCACAGACAAGAGAAGTTTAATGGCAATGTCGCTTTTTTCCTGATAACACAAAAAAGTGCCCTTATATTCAGTGCCGGCCAACTAGGGACTTCATCTCTTAACCATCTAAAGTGCACCTACTACAGACCCTGGCTGGTAGCTCAGGGGGTTAGCGCATTGCTCTGACATGCCATGGTTGCAGGTTCGATCCCTGGTCAGGGCCCATAAAACAACCAACCAATGAAGGTATAAGTAAGTGGAACCGTAAGTAGGTGTTTTTTTCTCTAGAATTAATACAAAATAAAATGTCTATCATGCATTTTTATGTGTGTGTAAAGTGTTGGAGGGTGTCAGCCACCTCTAAGAAGCATTTCTTAAAAACAGCCATGGAAGGTAAAAGTAGAATCTTGACAACAAAAGCTTTCAATGCAAAACCACTTTTTATACACTTATTTTTATTTCAAACAAAAAATAATCTCATAACTCAAAACAAAAGCAAAACTTGGTTGAAAACTTAAGAAGACAGTATAATAAACACAACCACCAATACGTCCCAGAAAGAAACTTGATTGGCTATCACTCCTTCAAATAATAACCCTGGAGGGAAAAACCTAACAAAATGAGTGAGCCCGGAAGACCCACTGCCGAGTCCCCAAAAGGTTTAGGGATGTGGCATTACCAAGTGTCTGCATCACAGTCATATTCGGGAAGAGTCCCAAGATCTTCCAAGTAAGCCTTTCCTTCTTGCAAAGTGTTTTTGTCTGCTGGCCTTACACTGGTACACAAGGCAAACTTGGCATCAATAGGATTGTGGCTTTATTTTTCTGGAGCCATCATGATGAATTGGTGCAATGCCGTTCACATTCCACCTGGTTTTCTTCGTGACCAGTGGGATGCTTACATCACAGTTGTCCAAAGTCTGTCCTATGGACACAGACACGGAACAGAATGATTCTTGGGGTAAGGACAAAGGGCTTGCATTATCACTTATCCAACTGAGTTTCCCATTGCTTTATTTTCTTTCTGTGTTGTGCATGACATTTAGAAACAGATATCCCTATCAGCCAGAGGGTTTTTATAAAATATCCTGTTGGTTAAAACGGAAAATTTATTGTTTAAGTAGCCAGTAGACATGTCCAGGTTGGAAATAATATACCCTTGCTGGCAAATGTTTCAAAGAGTTTTGGTCCACCTGCACTGCCCTAAAGAGCTGGATTTTCAGTTGTTTTAACTTCTCTAGAATCTAGACATAGGCAGAGCTGTGAAACATTTCTTGCTTGTGCCCTGGCCAGGTGGCTCAGTTGGTTGGAGCATCATCCTGTACACCAGAAAGTTTCCAGGTTCGATTCCCAGTCAGGGCACACACCTAGGTTGTGGGTTCAATCCTCAGTTGGGGTACATACTGGAGGCAACTAATCAATCTCTCTCTCTCTCTCTCAAATCAATAAACATATCCTCGGGTGAGGATTAAAAAATAAAATGTTTCTTGCTTGTTGCACAAGGTCCTTCATGGAGGGGTGACACTGACCCCTAGGAAAAGTCACAATGGCTTTCCTTTTATGCCCCACAGTCCTGGCTGTTCTGAAACCTCCATACCCTGGTCCAGTCACTCTTGGGGATGTTTGCTCATTGGAAGATTCCTCCCTCCCACCTCTGCAACAAATGCCCTTTGTCCCATTCATTATAAGAAAAACAAAATTCCCTGGGAGATCCAAATTGAAGAATAATAAAGATCTGGTTGGAACCTTCATAAGCCTGACAATGTGGAATTGTATTTCTTAAAAAGTGTGCAGCCACATTTGTCTGGGCAGCAAAAGACACCATGGAGTAAGATCAGAATAGAATTTCAGCTGACCCCCTAACTTCCTCGGAATGGCTCACATTTCCAGCCCTTCCTGTTCCGTTCCGATAGAGCAGGTGCGAGTTACTACCTATAAGTGATAAGAAAGTATAAAAACAGCCGCTGCCTTAAAAGTACAATTGAAATCCGAATTTAGGCTCCCATTGCTAAATTGGTCATTTCAGCGTAAGTTTCATTACGAGGCAGGCTATGTGCAATCCTGTTTGATCAGTCAATCCTTAACATGAAAGGCAGATGTGTGTTGGGGTGGCCTTATTTATGTTTCATCCCGGTTATTCTAACTCTCCTTGATTTATACTCACTTCCTAATTTCCCACGCTGGACCAGGACGAGGTCTTGCAATGATAAGCAATAAATGTTTACTAATGAACTCCAGGTCACGGCCAAACGGTGGGCCAGGGCTGAAGCAGCAGGGATAAGCGGGCTCGGGCAGAGGATGTTTTCTTGTCTGTACGAACTAGTGAAAGCTGCTTTCATCCAAATCTTACATGTACCAGAATCCGCAGCCACTGTGAAAACAGAGGGACCATTTGCTGTGGGGCATGTTGGCTGTGTTGATCTCTTTTCGGAGTGCTTGTGCAGGGAGGGCTTGGGAGGGCGAGGAGGCTCCTGGATGATTTCCTCCTCGTGGTTCTTTCTAAAGCCCTTGACCCCCATTTGGAAAGTGCACGTGTTCTGTCTAACCCTGACCTTGGCCCACATACGCACCACGCGTTCAGGTGTGACTCCCTTCTCAACCAGACACAAGGAGGAATGGTTCTCTGGTTGTCTGATCGCAAAATAATGGAGACGATGAGAAAAAGGAGGAGAGAGAGAAAATGACTAGTTGAGGCGTTTATATACATTCATTGCTTCTAGCATGTTTTTTTAACAAGAAGAAAAATGCAATGTAACTACTCTCCGAGTGAGTGCAGCCACAATACTGTACAGGTCTGGGGCAGGCCGTGGGGCGCCTTTACCATTCAAACCAGGTAAGAAAACCCCACGGCAAAAGGAAACCAGCCAGAAATCAACCCCTGCGAGTTTTTTCTTTTAATATATATACATTTTTGCATATTCTTCAAATCCCAGTTGGAACAATAACAATAACAACAATAAAAGACAAGCTCTGTATGAGAAACGCCCACGTTCCTCACTGGCACTTCTAAAGCAGCGTGGAGGCTGCTGTCACCTGGAGCGGCCTGCACCTGGACTCCACGGGGTGATCTTGCTAGGATAGCAGCACGGGGTTTGATGCTCCATTCCCACCACGTCTGACCATGTAAACCTTTCATAAAATAATCTCTCTCTTAAAAACTAGAATCATTCCAAGGTCTGATCGTCCCATTCCCTGAGGCCCGTGGGGGGCGGGCCTGGCTTCCTCCGTGGGGCTTCCTGCTTTCTCCATGAGGGGTGTAAATGCCACTGTGTTTCAGGAAAAACCTGAAGGACGGCCAGGGCCAGGGCCAGGGCCAGGGCCCTGCGGGAGGACGGCGGGGGGCTCCGGGGGAGTCCGAGGCTGGGTGGAAACGGGCATGTGCGGCAACGCCTGCAAGGCGAAACCCTCGCAGCCGGAATTTAATCCTCCGGTCCCCTCCCATCTGGATCTCCGACGGAATGAACCTAGTGGGTTTAACCAAACACGTATGCAGTCCAAAATAATGCGGGTTAGATTCTGCCCAGGGACCAAGTGACCCTCAAGGAACAAGGGCACGGAGACACGCAGGTCTGCCCGTCACCATAAACAATGGCGGCGGCTTGGACCTGCGTGGAACTTGGCTGAAACCAAGAGCCTCCGTGGCCAGCAGGCTCCCGGGTTTCTCAGGTAGCTCACACCCAGGGCTTATCTCATCTGCTTAGAAAGGAAGAGGCAATAATGTCAAGTGGAAAAAAAATTTGCTAACACATAATGTAGAGGCTGTAACTAAATACAATTTTTAAAAACAAAACGCTGAGATGCATGTATTTTTCTTAAAGCAGCTTTCAAAATATCAACCATAGCATTAAACATTGAAGTTGGTACATTCCAAAGTTCACACAGATAAATGGTATGTAATGCAATAATGCCAGAGTTATGCCATGCGTCTCGAGGTTTTCTAAACTCCAAAAAACATCTCCTAGTTCATTGGCTGAAGATCACTTCTTTTGCTACTGCTCTAGAATTGTCCACCACTATTTTTTTTTTTCTTTTTTAATGCCCAGGATGTACAGATAATCCTCACATTCCACACCTGGAACCTTTTTCCCCACCCCCCCTCTCTGTCAGGTTTTCAAATAAAACCAAACTGCAATGATAGGCTAATGTTTTACATCGTAATTCCGTAGACACAGATCAATCCATCCGTGACACCTCATCTCCACGCTTCCTTCAGGATTTATGACCCTCTCCAAAGTCATTTAAAGCCCTGCTGGAAATCACGCAGACAGGCGGGTGGCCGTGCAGCCGGTGCGCACGCACGACGTCGGCCACACGGCACAGAGGCTGCTGTGTCTCCTTGCTCTTCTTCCCTTTCGGTGGTCGCACTCCCAACCTTCGCCACCTCCCTCTGCCAGGCAAGGCCCAGTGCCTCGGTTTTCTTCCCTCCAGTGACAAACGTCTTCAGGGTGCTGGCTTCCAGGCTCCGTGTGAAAAGCCCTTTCTGGAGGGCGCCCCTGGGTACCGGGCCCGACCCTCCTGGTCTTTCTTGACAGAGGGGTTCTGGGCTCCGTCAGCTTCCAGACGCTGGGAGACCACACTGCTCTGTTTAAAATCCCTCGAGCAGGCCCGTGAGTGCCCAGGCTCAGCTCCAGGATGGGGCCTTGGGGCTGCGGGGCGGGACTGCAGTCCGTGGCCTCTTGCAGAAAAAGCAGGCACTTGTGGCGGCCGGATGCTTCTGGGGACCTCTAGCCTTGCCGATGCCGAAGGGGTCACCGGACCGTTCCCTTCCTCGATTTCCAGGGGATTCTGTTTCATGCACAGAGCCAGTTTTCGGAGGCGGAGTGTAGCCAAAATATACGAGTATACACATCAGGGCTTAAGGTACTGGATGATATTGTATAAGTTGCTGAAATGCTTCTCGGCACAATCGGTAGCTTAAAAAAATACTTTCCTACGGTTTAAGGGCATTTTCCCTGTCCCACTGTCCTCTGGTGTAGATATCTGGGCAGATACCAGGTCCATCTGAAGTTCCCGGGGTTTTTTTTCCCCCCTTTCTTCCAACCGACTATGTACCACATGAGCCATATGCAAAGTCCAGGTTCTTCCAGCCGGGAAAGAATGCACTTCCCCCCAAGCACCTCCCTCTGTTAATATCACAGCCCCCAGGGCACATACATGCAAGGCAAATGAACTCCTTCTCTCCCAAACCTCCAGCAGCCACAAGCCCGGCTTCTGGAACAGTCCTGTCCTCCGTCAGTCTGTTTGCGCTTCAGATGGCGGGTGAGTCCGCCCGGCCAACAGCAGGGAAAGCAGACCCGGTCCCAGGTCCAGGAGGTCTGGGTGGGGCCACACCGGAGGGGCTTGGCAACTAGGTAGGGTTTCCAAAGATAGACTGCGTCATGGGATTGTCTTAAATAAATAAATCTTTTTTTTCCCTCAAAAAATGTAAAAAATAAACGGCATTTTCCTTTGGCAGTAAATAGCTGATTCGATGCTGAGCCTGAAAAGCTGTTTTTGTGGGTTTTTTTTTGTGTGTGTGTTTGTTGTTTGTTTGTTTGCTAGCTTGTTTCCAACAGACCACAGCTCCGCGTCGTGGCCCGTCACTAACGATGCATGTGTTTTTCTGCTGCTTTCGTGAACCTCTTGCATATCTGTTTGCGGGGGCGGGCCCGTCGGCTTCACTTGTGGCCCAGGTAGGCCCCCAGCGTGATGCAGGCGCCCACCAGGGCCAGGCTGAGCAGCGCCTTCAGGGACAGCCAGGAGAAGTCGAAGAGAGGCCGCATGTTGGGGCCGTACAGCTCCACGAAGGCGTCCTGCAGGGGAGAGTGGAGGGGAGGAAGAGGAAGAGGGTTAGCGACGGGGAGCAGACGCACTCTCTTCGCTTTCGCTCGGGAAATGTTTGTGCGGACCCTGGGTCCCTGGCAGGCACCAGGGAGGAATGGCAGTGAGGGACATAGTTGGAAAGCTCCTCACCTCATGAAGCTCTTACCTAGTCGAGTGGGGTGGACAGTAAACGGAGTAAATGTGTCAAATGGCACATCAGGGAGCGGGTAGTGTGAGGGGCAGAAGAAAATGACAAAGGACATTAGAAATACGGGAGGCTTTGCAATTTTTGTGAGCATGGCCATTCATAAGAATAAAAAACCAAAGCCCTGGCTGGCATAGCTCAGTGGATTGAGCGCGGGCTGCGAACCAAAGTGTCGCAGGTTCAATTCCCAGTCAGGGCACATGCCTGGGTTGCAGGCCATGGCCCCCAGCAACCGCACATTAATGTTTCTCTTTCTCTCTCTCTTTCTCCCTCCCTTCCCTCTCTAAAAATAAAATAAATAAAATCTTAAAAAAAAAGAATAAAAAACCAACAACTATGACTACATTCTTTTATCGAATGTCTGCTACACACACTACTTTATTTATTCTTTGTACCAATCTTACGGAGTCGTCTTATTTATTCCTGTCCTGTAGAGAAAACAATCTGACTCACTGAGGTTAAAGGGTTTGTCGAATCAATGGGATAGCCAGGATTTGAACCCAGAGCCGAAGCAGTGCCCTTCCCTCCGCTAGTGCCCTCACAGCAGGTCTGTGAGTGCTCGGTCTTTAGTCTGCGGCGGGTGCCGATGTGGTGGGCACGGCAGGGTGACCCCCACTGGTGGCAGGCCTAGCCTCTGAGATCAAGGACAGGGTGCTCCCTGGAAAGGAAGAAGTTGCAGGGTTTCTCCTGGGGCGGGCAGGGTGGGGGGGGGGCTAGACTGGATGACCATAACCCCGTGTGTAACTCAAGTTGTGCACTTGACAAGCAGGGGGTCCCCTATGGACACACAGGTCCCTGAGGAGAGGAGATGGCTCCTGTCTCTCCTTCGTGCAGCTGCCGGGAAGCCAGGCCGGCAGCGTGCCATAGCAAAGGTCCGTGGGCTGTAGCATGAACCAAGCATTGCACACTCGTTTCTTAGGTTTGTTGGGGGAGATCAGTTTCTACATTTGGACCCAATTAGTATTTGGACAGCTCTGTAAACCCATCTACATGCATAAATCAGTAAGTGAGATGCTTTTTCACATGGCGTGATTCACTCGGCATCCCAACAGCCTGGGGCTGGGGCACACGGTTTCACTCCGGGAGACGGGAAGCGCACGGCAGGGGGCACCTCTGGCGCCGCGCTGCGGCTGAGGTTTGGCGGCCTGCACGGTGCTTTCATCCGTTCCGGGCCGGCACCGCAGTGCCGGGGCCAGGGGTCATCTCTGCCTCCTCCGTGCTGTGCAAGGTCTTGGTGCATGTAGGTGCTTAGTAAATGTTCCTTCAATGAACAGTTCAAGTTTTCTGAATTCAGACACGGGCTTGAATTCTGTTTGGCCTAAGACTTCACCCAGATGCCTACTCTGGCTGTTTCGAAATTATTCTTTCTAAACACAAAGACCTCTGGGAATCTTGGAGTAGTCCTGGAGGTGGGAGTCTAAGGCATCATTAGGGGAACTTCCCACATTATTAAATATCGACTCACGTAATTATTTTTCATGGCTGCGTAGTATCTCTCTCTCTCTCTCTCTCTCTCTCACACACACACACACACACACACACACACACACTGTGCTGTATTGAACCAGTTCTTCATCCCGGTTGTTCTAAATGTTTACTATGATACACGGTATTATGATATATCTCTTACATATACTTTTATGTGCTTGCTCAGATGTGGGCTTTCTTTTTTGGGGGGTGCAGGGGGGACCAATTCCTAGCAGTGAACTCACTTGACCAGCCATCAGAATTGCTCACTGGTTGCCCTGGGCCAGTGACATCACGTACAAAAGGCCACAAGGGTTCAGGGCAGTGTTTCTCACGGGGGGTGGGGGGGCAGTGAGCTGCCCCCCGGGGGGGGATGTTTGGCGGTTTCTGGAAACATTTTTGGTAGTCAAGATTTCAGGTGGGGGTAGAGGCAGGGGTACAGGACAGCCCCCACCGCGGAGTTCCGATGTGCCAAGGCTGAGAAACCCTGTGAAGAAAGATCTGGAAGGAACCCTGGGATCACAGACCCCAGGAGACCCAGCAGCCTCTCTGGTTCGTCAGCAGCTTTGGTCACATGAGCACGACAGGAGCGGCGGAGCCGACCGGCAGGTGAGCTGCCCTGCAGAGGCACCGGGTCAACTCGCACCAGGAGAGGGCGCAAGGGGTTTCTTCTCTTTTTTTTTTTTTTCAACCTAGTGTTAAAATGTTCCAAATTTGAGCCTCAGCAAACTGAGGCTCTGGCAGATGTGAAGGAAACATGGGCTTCGTGTGCTCGTAGTGCAGCGCTGAGGTGACACTCACGGTGACGTGTGGAAAGAGCGACGTGCCTTCTTCCCCGGGCACGGTCAGCAACAAGCAGGGCGGGAAGGGGCCGGCCGGCGCCTGTTTGGGGGCAGGAGAAACTGCCTCCTGCGGGGTGCATCCCGGGACCCTGGGGGCACACTGCTGGGAACGGCGAGGACCCATCCCTCCAGGAGGCTCGCTCCGAGGCAGCGGCAGGCCGGAACCACGACAACCCAGCAAGGGACGCCCTCGGACCACGCATGGGGGGGGGGGGGGGCCGTGTGCAATGGAGCTGGACACTGAGAAAGAAGGTCCGCGGCTGGGCGCTGCGTTTCTTGACCTGCCCGTGGAGTTCCCTGTGGCCAACCAGGACACGGGCTAAGACCCGGGCCATCTGACCTTTTTGGACAAGAAGCCATCCCGGGGAAGTGGAGGGAGAAGGAAGGGATAAACGGGTGGGCGTTGCCCCCCCATCCACCTGGTGCACAGTCCTGGGGGCGGCAGAAATGCCTGTCCGAACACCCCTTCCTCTCGGGGGCTGGGATAACCCCCTCCCTAGGAACACTGGGCGTCTGAGGGGTCGCTTCTGATGAGCATCCCAGGGAACACACCCCAGCTCGGGGGGGAGGGGGGATGCGCCAGCACAGCCTCCCTTGGCCCAGAGGCCCAGCGCAGAGGTGCTGACCCAGCCCGCTGGGCTCTGGGGACCGCTCTGGACTTGGGGGGAAGGTCTGGGTGGAATCCTGGCCTTGACATTTTCTTGCTGATGAGCTTGAACAAATCACCCAGCCCTGAGCCTCATTTACTTCACCCGTAAAATCGGTTACTGTGATGATGAACATAGAGGACTCAAAGCCGTGCGTGTGTCAACGTGGCCCAGAACGTTGAACTAGTGGAAATATTGGCCTGCTCTCTCATCTGTCTTTTTGCAAACCTGCCGCCCTTCCGTCCACAGGCTCCACTGAGGGCGGGGGACGGAGGAGGGGGGAGGGCTCCCACGGAAGCACTTCACTAGCTCCCGCTCAAGGTGCTGGGTGACTCCTATAGAAATTATGGATTAAAACGCACATACTCTGTGTTCCGGGGAAGACAGGAAGTGAGCCTGCAGTGCCCATCTCTGCCTCCTCACCCATCGGTAAGCCGGGTTGCAGGGCTGAGGGGCGTCGTGAGCCCCCCGGGACTGATCTGGCCGCTGAGCTCTTCCCGTCTGCGTTCCAAAGCGGCGAGCAGGCCCCCGGGGTTTCGGGACTGAGAGTCCTAACAGCTCCTGCCACACAGAGTCTCCTTGCTTTTTCAAACATCCTGATTAGGGCGATTTCCGAAGTCTGTTTGAACAGCCTGTCATTATTTGTTTAAGTTTGAAAGCTGTATTAAACAAACACATGCTCATTTCATGTATGAGAAGCAACGACGAAAGGAAAAGCAAACCTGGGCTGCCGTCATGTGACCCAGACAAAACCCCGGTGTGCGGCTTTGGGGGGCACCGCCAGCCTGGGTCCGGTCGGTCAGGACCGGCGAGGGCTCCGCCCGATGTCAGCGTGCGCAGACCGGTTCCGGGGGCAGGTCCTGTCTCCTTTTGCTGGCCCCTCGCGTCCCGGAGGAGACAGGCTGTGCCCCAGCTCAGGCCCCTCTTTCGCAGACAGATTCTCCACGAACTTGAACTCAGAGGTCACAAGTGGCCAGAGGCATGAGTTCCAGCCAGGGACAGCACCCCCAGTGCGGGAAGGCCAAACTCCCACCCCTGGGCCTGTGATGCGGGGTTGGAGGGGAGCTGGGGAGCTGTGGACCGGAACAGACCAGCCTCAGACTCCCACGCTGGGGGGAGATGGGCGGCACCCAAAGCGTTCCTGTCCTTCCTGCATTGAATCCAGCCCTGGGACCACTGCCGCCCACCCCCCTCTCTCCTGCCACCACACCTGCCTCCAGGCAGCCCACCTTCCAAAACCTTCCTTTCTCCGTGAAGAATCCTTCAAAAAGCCCTGGATGGCGTGGCTCAGTTGGTTGGAGCATCGTCCCATAACTGAAGGGTTGTGGGTTCGATTCTTAGTCAGGGCACATGCCTAGGCTGTGGGTTTAGTCCCTGGCCCAACGCATACGGAAGGAAACCCGATCAATGCTTCCCTCTCGAAAAGATGTTTCTCTCTCTCCCCCTCCCTCTCTCCCTTCCTCTCTCTAAAAGCACTGGGGGTGGGGGGAAGTCCTTGGGTGAGAATTAAAAAAACCCTTCAGAAAGTTTCAGGTTGATTCCAAATAAAATGAGATTTAAATACAGACAAATCAGATGGGCAAAAACTGAAAAAGAATGCTGAGTTCTGCTGAAAACACCGGGGTGGGGCGGTGGGGGGGACCCCAAGATGCTCCTACACATTGCCCCACCCCCAGGGAAGATAAATGTGGAGACCTTTTCGGATTTGGCCGTGCGTACCGAAACCTTGAAAACACCGTCCTTTTGTTTGTAATTCCCCTTCTAGTTATTTATCTTGAAAACATAATAAAGTGCACGGGTGGTTTGTCATAGTTTAAATCGGAAAACGA